TTTCAATGACGCGATTATAGTGTAACGCTAACATTAGCGCGCTTTAACGCTATGTTTCTATATATCGCAAATGACGTCACGTCAAAGTGTTAATATCGTTTTTATTAAATGGCTTTATTACACTCCTGCGCCGCGGTTTATGTGATAAATAAATAATTCTAACACGATCCGCATTTTTCCCTATTGAACATAGAAGAACCGAAAGTGTGTATTATTATGCTATAAAATCACTGTTTGACGTTCTATATTTAGATATGTGACGTAATCGTTATACACGTGACGTAACCACTAAAAATGTGACGCGCTGAAAATAAGTACGGAAACAAATCAGGCGCAGTTTATCTAATTATCATGTACCGCAGCATTTATTTGTTGATGTCGTGTTAGAATCGAAATAATATATCCAAATCGGTGATTTTATTGCTTGATAACATCACTGTTTGTCGTTCGGGTGCGCATCATTATATCACTCGGGCTACGCCCTCGTGATATAATTCCCCGCATCCGAACTCCAAACAGTGATGTTATTGAGCAATAAAATCACAGTTTGGGATATATTATTTCTTAAATAAATAGACACAAAAGTATCTTTTTAAATATATGAGTAACGTGAATAAGCTAAATATTTCATATAAAAAACAGAAAAAAAATCCACAAGATTCACTTGCATTACAGTTTTTTCACTTCTCAAAACAAACAAAAACCCTTTAAATATCTTTCATGATGAATGATATAGGGTTTTCCTTTCTACTCTATAAATGCATTTATTTAAAATCGAGAGAAACCCCTGTGTGGTGGATGGCCGTTGGCACAATATGCACTTAAAATACGACTTGCGCAGCAACATTCCTGAGTGTCCGTAGCTGACGCTACGAAATACCAGTTTAGCCTTTTTTAAAAATGTTTTGCGGTCATTAAATATAACCAAATCGCCCCCTTATTGACTTATTCTTAAACCTTCTTTGAAGAGTTACGCACTATTTTAACGTAAGCTTAAGAAAAAACTTACGAACGTTTCGTGAAACACACTTACGATTTGCGTAAGTTTAAACGTAAGCGTAAAGTTACGAAAATACTTACGAAAAACTTACGCAATGTTAGTAAAACGGTGCCCAGGTGTTTATTTTCTGGATTATATTTTATGCCTCATTTAACATATCACTCGTCCAGTTTATCGATGTTTATATGTCTCTTTCAGATCAAGTCAATATTTACTTTGATCTTTTATTCTTTTTTTAAAGTACAAGATAAAAATATGTCATTCAATAAGTAAATACATATATCATGTACAAAGGGTACTTTTGGAGTTTTGGTCTTGAGGTGGTCAAGGGGTATGACTCTTAACCCCAGGGGTTATTAGGTTAAGCCCTATAGGGGTCACAACAATATATGTTTCTTCATATGACACTAGTAATGGTTAGTTACAGCTGTACAGGAAGCGGAAGTGGTTTAAAAAGGCTTCAGATAATTATCATGATGAAGCTGAAATAAATAAACTTACGAGCAATAGAAAGTACACTCTTAGATAATAGTTTATAAGATTCTGAAATTTTAATACGATTATTAAATTTCATTATAATACTACAACACATGAAAAAATCCAACAAGAAACGGCACAGAATTTTATAGTTTTTATTTGTTTGGGTCGTCAGACCAAACAAATAAAGGTAGCGAAATTTCAGAGCCTAATGCTGTTAATTGCAAATGCCTAAAGAAGTCCACTTTTTTGAAGCGGTTACTTCCCTTTATATGTACACTAACGCCGAAAAAATTCAGGGGAGATCAGTGCGTAAAGATTGTCAAATGACAGGCGCATTAATATTCAAGCAAAGTAGTTCCCGAATGGTCGAAGATTTCTAATATTGTTTCATTCTTTATAGATATACATGCTAAAGGTAAGCTCCATGATTATTTACATCTGTGTTTAGCGTCGAAATAATAAGAGTTACAAACCCTAATTACGAATATTATGGTTTTCTTCAGGCCGTTAACATATAACTTCACCGTGGCCGAGGGGTTTGCACGCTCGCTTATGAAACTAGAGGTCTCGAGTTCAAATCCAAGTTGTGGCAACTCATTTTTTTTTTCATTTTTTAAGTCAAATAAACATTGAATTGACTACCACGTTGTAATTAGTCTTGTAGCCAATTTACTACGGTTAAAACACTGGAAAGCATTGGTGGCACTATACAAAAACAAATTGGTTTATAATCTCACAACCTTCACCTTTCTGACATTCTGAGACCCAAACAAATTCAGCGCCTTCTGTGTTTTGATTATTCATTTCAATACAGACAAACAAATATCGAATTTTAGCCGCACCGATAGGTCGCACATACTTAAACTTATTCACGGGCAAGTGACATTATTACTTGTTTTTGCGAGTGGAATATTCCTGCACTTTTGATCTATTTTGTTATATAAGGCCTGCAGATCCTGGCGGCGGTACTCGCTAGTAGACCCGATCTTTCGGGGTAGTTTATTTAGGGCTTTAAAACATTATGTACATGTACCTCTATCAAATGAATTAGCAGGCGTCAGATGCTTTTTCGATGATCTCTGCAAAACAAGGCAGCAGCATACAAGTAATTTATAACAAATAACCTTAATTTGAAAAATCAATAACGATTTGAGTATTTGATTTCTAGGAATAAATGTACAGTTGGTAGGGCACAGTTTCGTTTTGTACCATCAAATTATGTTGACACCCAAAAATGTAGGAAGCGTAAACTTTCCAAAATAATAATAGTTATTCCTTTTATCCGTCATTAGAAAAATCTTATTGTCTGGTAAATATCTGAACGTCATCATCTTATCTTTCATTTTCCGCAGAAATATCAATAAACTTTAAAAAATAAATAAAACATAAAAATAATGATGATAAATGGTGATGATGATGATGATAATAATAATAATACTGATAGTGATGATGATGATAATGATGATGATGGTGATGATGATGATGATGATGATGATGATGATGATGATGATGATGATAAAAATAATGATAATAATAATAGTACGATGTTTTTTTTTCCCCTGGACTTTCTGGATAATCATACGAAGTAGTCTAACATCTTATAACACCGTTTTTCACATTGGTTCATTAATTAGCATGCAAATAGAGAAAAACAGAATCCCTAAAGAAAGCCCAACACGGCAAAATTGAAAATGTTGCAGTATTATAATCTTCTTTTTTTCGCGATGATTTCGTATTTTCGCGCTTTAGATTCTTCCATTCAAAGACAAATATACCGATGGCCCTGACAGAGTTCCGTAATGTTAAGTATGGAATATAATTTCGGACAATGAACGGTCAATGTTAATCATAAATGTAAAAATAAACAAGAGTATACTTGACACCATTGCCGGAAAATGTTCATATTCTACTTGTACAGTGGCCGAAAATTAAGAAGATGGCGTAATAATGTATGCAAATGCTTGACATTTAAGTCCCTGTTAGACCATTTTATTTCACATTCACAATGTTTGTACAAAATGTTTGATATGTATGCAAGCTAGTCATTTAATTTCAACCTTTAAAAATGTCAACTTTAACTTCACCCGCTAAGAAGCCTGTGTTGTCATTTGGAATTAAGAATAACACTTTGCCCTGTAACACTAAATATATAAATGTTTACTTCGGAAAGCTCTGCCAATAGACACAATTTTTTACCCAGGGGACAAACTAGGAGCACGTTAGTGTACTAATTTTAAAATAAAATAAAATAAATTTATTTCGAATTTTCATTTAAAAAAAAAAAGGTTTTTTGTTTGTTTTTTTAATAAAATGTAAACTTTTATTGTTAGAAACGTATTTTCCGATTAAATTGTTTTATATCTATCTTTTTTTTTGCATAAAACTATCAGCATTATGAAAAGAAAACGAAAATACTAAACAATTAAAGACATTTTTTAAGGAATAACGTATATTGATTTAAGTCACATTGTGGAAATAATTATCGTTCACCTTTAAAAGTACCACCTAAAGTGATTTTATTTGTGTTATTTCTTAATAGGCAACAATGATGCGTGATTCCAGATTGTTGGCGTGGCTTATATGCACTGCAGGTAATGATTTATATTATTCCAAAGGAAATTTGCTGATTTCATAATCTGTCATCAAGAAAAGATGAAATCAGTTCATATATTAATATCATATTCCTTAAGTAAAATAGCATATTTAATTTACTGTAGCAAATTATCGTATTTTAAGCCAAATATCACATTTGAATCACATTATTATAGTACTTAAGCAAAATGTCCTATGAAAATCATATTTCTTAAGCAAATTGTTATATCACATCAGTAAATTATCTAATACAAAATCATATTACTTAAGTAAATAATCATATTCCTTAAGCAAAATATCGTATTTAATTTTCTTAAGCAAAATATTATACTTTTAAAACATTAAGAGGATATTTTTCGTTTGAGTTAAATATGGAATATATTTTCACGAAACATGATAAAATGCCACATATTTTCACGAGTAATTATATCTTTATTACTTTTCGGCCCGGGGCCGAAAAAGGTGATATAGATATTGGCACTGTTTTAAAGCAGGCCATCGTGTTATTGAACGTGGCAGGTGCTTTTTATAGGACTAATAGCGTATAGTTATTTAATAAGAAATTTTAAAATCATTGAAGCAGCATGCCAACATGTTTCATGTTAATTTTCATAACAAAGGGTTTGAAAATTTAAAAGTAAAATACTGTGAGATGAACAAAGAAAGTAATATAAACATTGCAAATGGCATTTCAAATGATATTACCAAATTACCAAAAATAGGTAAAAATATGCAAAATATTTACTTGCTGCGTTAGTAACGCAGACGAGAACTGCAGAATCAGTCATTATTCACACATAACTTGAATCTTTTAACTTTTCCAAAATATAAGTACCATTGTCTCAAGTTGATTTTCTTAAAATATGTTGGCTCATCTGGAGGCGTGCAGCTTTAAAATAAATATAAAAAACATCAAATATTTGTGAACATGGGTAAATAAGACTTGATCTCGTGCTTTTTTAATTGTTTATTTTACGATGCCATACATAATGCCACGCGAATAGGCTGCTGAGCCCCATACCTTAAGACTTCAGGAACAAAACAAGTGTCACTGCACAAGTAATCTTTTAGCGGTCTCAAAGATGAAATGAGCCGCGTCACGACAACACCAACATAGCGCGTTTGCGACCAGCATGGATCCAGACCAGCCTGCGCATCCGCACAGTCTGATCAGGATTCATGTTGTTCTCTTAACAACCTTTTTACAAGTAGAGAAACTGATAGCGAACAGCATGGATCCTGATCAGACTGCGAGGATGCGCAGGCTGGTCTGGATCCATGCTGGTCGCAAACACACTATGTTGGTTTTGTCATGACGCGGCTCAAATATCATTACAGCAACAATCTATTTTATTTGACTGTACAGATATGCCAAATTTTCAGTTAAATTTCTATTGGTTTGTGAAAATATCCCGAAATAGCTGTAATTGCAATACAAATGTCCTAATATTGCATTAAAAATCTGTTTAAGAAGATAACAACAACAAAAGCAACCAAAAAATTATTACAAGAATAAAAAACAACAACAATAAGCACAGAGAAGTTACTAAAATATTGTAGATATTAAAAGAGGAGATTTAAGGCTAATTTACCCAAGTCAATTAATTATCAGTTTATATTGAGCGACGCCCTGGTATAAGATACCAAGTTTTCATTTTCTCTGCATTTGTACTGTCATGTAAGACAGGTACAACACCGAATTCTTAAATACAGTCGAACTTCGTTCGCTCGAACTTTGAGGGCCTGTGCAAATTTGTTCGAGATATCGGTAGTTCGAACCAACCGATTTTAACTATAATTACGTTGATCATAGGCCTTAAGGTTTTCTAGCTTACAGCGGTCAAATGATAAATAAGTCAATATAATTGTTTGTTAGTACATCTGTTCGTCAGATATTTCATATTAAGAATTATTATCCCAGTGTTTTCAATTAAGATTTCGGTACACTGTGTTACTCTATATTCACGCATATTGTAATAGGTTGAGTTCGATTGGGCAATGAGACCAAACTTGTTGAACAATGTTCAAAATATATTTACATGTATATATTTATTTTGGGATGAATTTAATTTAAAAAAAAAATGAATTTATAAAATATTTAAACAAAAACGTTTACAGCAGCAACTATTTGTAGCCATTAACTAAAATAAACACACATACAAGTATCATTCTATAAATAGATAGCACTGTTACAATTCACGTTACATGAACCGTCGACCGAAAAGTTGTGATTTTCACTATATTTCTGCCGCCGAAGGGACCAGAGACCAGGTTCGAGAGTTCGAGTGATCGGTGTTCGACCGATCCGAGGTAGAACAATATATATTATATAGGGATTTTACCGGGACTGGGCGATGAGTTCGAGCGAAGGGAGGTATTCGAGCAATCCGAGTTCGAGTGAACGAAGTTTAACTGTAATATCATTACATGGGTCTGTATGCGTTTTTTGATAAGGTTTAAGAAATTCGTTTTGAATTATAGTTCGCTAAATTTCGCAATGGTTAATGCATTTGGTTTGCTCTTTTTTTTGGAAATTAAAGTTCGGAAACGTACAATGGTTAAAAAGGTAGTGCGCTTTGTGTATAATAAAGGTTGTGCAATTTGTTTCAATTTCGATGACAATGAAGATGCAAATAAACGCCAAGATGTAATACTTTGCATGCAGATTTAAATAATTATCGCTGCGCTGCAGAATGTCCCTTTGACACAGAGCTCATCCTGGTACTACTTTTAGGCCAACGTCATCCCATAGTATCCCATTAACAACTCTCTTCAAAAGTAAGCCGATTTTAATTCCGACTGCTTTTGCATTTATATCCCTACCTGCTACGCAAAGACAATTGTCCCTGATTAATGTTAACACTGAAGCATATCAACCAATATGCCAGTATCAATGTCTACATGGTTTAGTAATGGCTTGGCAATTTGTCACTTAACGCGGTACTGTTGAATTATTCGACGCCAGTCTTAGAAAGTCCAATGTCTAAGCATACATGTCCCTTACTTTTTCGTCATTGATGAGTGAACAGATTAGGGGAAGTAAATGCTTGTACAATATGATATCAATTTGTTTATATTTAATGATAGCAATTTATGTCTGCTGTATGGTCTATAAAAGACTCGTAATAAATTGCGGTGAAAAAAAATTAAATTGTATTCATTATTGCATTAATGTACCGTTGGTTAAAAATATAATTATATGGGCAACTCTCCTTTAAAACCAGCAAGGAGTTTGACATTTGAATTTTAAAACTTCAAGTACAGGTGATTCTGATGATAAAAAACGCTTTATATCTCCTAACACATTGTATAGGACATATTCGTTCCGTATGAACCAGACAGTAAGGGTAAAAACAACATAACCGATTTCACCCACACTGCGTGTTACACTGATGACGCGTTATACTAGATTGCTGCATAACTACAAAGATATTTCTAGACCTAATATCTTTTAATTTTTTTATTTAATAATTTGTCCATCAGATTAAACTTGTTTCTTGGTAAATGTATCTTTGTAATTCCCTACAACATTGTTTTACAACATAATACAACAAAAAACGGAGTAGGGGCATTCATCGCCTTTAGCAATATGTCTTGTTGAAATCAAAGGAAAATTTTTATCTACACCATAACCGTCCGTGGTAGTATGAGCATATTTTGTTATTCAAATCTTTTTCAGATCTTCAAAAAAAAAAAAGAAAAAATAAATATGAAAAAAAAGATTACATACTTCCGAAATACAAACAAGTGATAACACAAAGATTATCTCAATATTTGCATATTAAGATTTTCTGAATCCTACATTTAAAAAGCTTATCAAAACATGTATAGTTTTCAAAGCATTACAATAACAGTTTATCTAAACAGATATAAACGTTATAAATGAACACTGCTTGCTAGATTCGCTTTTCAGTAGCAGAAAAAATAAATACATTTAACGATTTTTTAAAAAAAGCACTTGTTTCTTCAAAATTTTTAAAGCAGATTCTCATGACAATAAATGCTACATCAATAAAGAAAAAGAAATGAAAACATCAGACTGTGCATCAATCTAGCTTGTATTCATTCTATATATTTCAGGCATATCTATTCAGGTATCTGATGGGCAGTCATTAAATGGACCATCGACATTCATGCCAAGTATGAAATTTTATCAACTAGGAGATGACATGGTTTCTGGAATGAAAACTTATGACATGAATCTAGTTGCTCAGAATATTGAATGTTTCTATTGGAGCTATACCTATTGGCTTGAGGATTTTATGTTGACGTCTCGATATTTGACAAATATAACATTTTATGACAAAGCCAAAATTACCAATCTCCAATTGCATTTGTCTGAACTTCCAAGAACACTTATGGATCCAGTCGAAATGTTGGACGCAATGCTAAAGACAACTGGTTTTGACCCTGCAACGTTTTCAACTGACTCGTTTGTTATTTCAACATTGAATACTTATTACACGCAGATAAATAATGGAATCGATCGGCCAGAATTAATTTTCTTTAGGTCGCTGATTGATACACTTGGTGATGGATTAAAAGATCGCTTCAATGGTGATTTATATGCTGAAATTGACGATAAAGAAATTACTTTCTTGATTGATAGTTGTGCTCCTATAACATACATGTCCTCTCACATCATGCCAACTACAACGTCGACCTGGTACCCTTCTTCCAGCCAATATCATACTTCTCTGGTACATTTTTACCAATTAGGAGATGACATGGTTTCTGGAATGAAGACTTATGACATGGGCCTAGTCGCCCAGTATATTGAATGTTTTTATTGGAGCTATACCCATTGGCTTGAGGATTTTATGTTGTCGTCTCGATACTCGACAAATATAACATTTTATGACAAAGCCAAAATCACCAATCTCCAATTGCATTTGTCTGAACTTCCAAGAACACTTATGGATCCAGTCGAAATGTTGGACGCAATGCTAAAGACAACCGGTTTTGACCCTGCAACGTTTTCAACTGACTCGTTTGTTATTTCAACATTGAATACTTATTACACGCAGATAAATAATGGAATCGATCGGCCAGAATTGATTTTCTTCAGGTCGCTGATTGATACACTTGGTGATGGATTAAAAGATCGCTTCAATGGTGATTTATATGCTGAAATTGACGATAAAGAAATTACTTTCTTGATTGATAGTTGTGCTCCTATAACATACATGTCCTCTCACATTATGCCAACTACAACGTCGACCTGGTACCCACCTTCCAGCCAATATCATACTTCTCCTGTTCATTTTTACCAATTAGGAGATGACATGGTTTCTGGAATGAAGGCTTATGACATGGGCCTAGTCGCCCAGTATATTGAATGTTTCTATTGGAGTTATACACATTGGCTTGAGGATTTTATGTTGACGTCTCGATACTTGACAAATATAACATTTTATGACAAAGCCAAAATTACCAATCTCCAATTGCATTTGTCTGAACTTCCAAGAACATTTATCGATCCAGTCGAAATGTTGGACGCAATGCTCAAGACAACTGGTTTTGACCCTGCAATGTTTTCAACCGACTCGTTTGTTATTTCAACATTGAATAAATACTTCACAATGAAAAATAATGGATTCGATCGGCCAGAATTGATTTTCTTTAGGTCGCTGATTGACACACTTGGTGATGGATTAAAAGATCGCTTCAATGGTGATTTATATGCTGAAATTGACGATAAAGAAATTACTTTCTTGATTGATAGTTGTGCTCCCATAACATACATGTCCTCTCACATTATGCCAACTACAACGTCGACCTGGTACCCACCTTCCAGCCAATATCATACTTCTCCTGTACATTTTTACCAACTAGGAGATGACATGGTTTCTGGAATGAAGGCTTATGACATGGGACTAGTCGCCCAGTATATTGAATGTTTCTATTGGAGCTATACACATTGGCTTGAGGATTTTATGTTGACGTCTCGATACTTGACAAATATAACATTTTATGACAAAGCCAAAATTACCAATCTTCAATTGCATTTGTCTGAACTTCCAAAAACACTTATGGATCCAGTGGAAATGTTGGACGCAATGCTAAAAACAACTGGTTTTGACCCTGCAACGTTTTCAACCGACTCGTTTGTTATTTCAACATTGAATAATTACTACAAGCAGATGAATAATGGAATCGATCGACCAGAATTGATTTTCTTTAGATCGCTGATTGATACACTTGGTGATGGATTAAAAGATCGCTTCAATGGTGATTTATATGCTGAAATTGACGATAAAGAAATTACTTTCTTGATTGATAGTTGTGCTCCTATAACATACATGTCCTCTCACATTATGCCAACTACAACGTCGACCTGGTACCCACCTTCCAGCCAATATCATACATATCCTGTACATTTCTACCAACTAGGAGATGACATGGTTTCTGGAATGAAGGCATATGACATGGGACTAGTCGCCCAGTATATTGAATGTTTCTATTGGAGCTATACACATTGGCTTGAGGATTTTATGTTGACGTCTCGATACTTGACAAATATAACATTTTATGACAACGCCAAAATTACAAACCTCCAAATGCATTTGTCTGAACTTCCAAGAACATTTATGGATCCAGTCGAAATGTTGGACGCAATGCTAAAGACAACTGGTTTTGACCCTGCAACGTTTTCAACCGACTCGTTTGTTATTTCAACATTGAATAATTACTTCACAATGATAAATAATGGAATCGATCGGCCAGAATTGATTTTCTTTAGGTCGCTGATTGACACACTTGGTGATGGATTAAAAGATCGCTTCAATGGTGATTTATATGCTGAAATTGACGATAAAGAAATTACTTTCTTGATTGATAGTTGTGCTCCTATAACATACATGTCCTCTCACATTATGCCAACTACAACGTCGACCTGGTACCCACCTTCCAGCCAATATCATACTTCTCCTGTTCATTTTTACCAATTAGGAGATGACATGGTTTCTGGAATGAAGGCTTATGACATGGGCCTAGTCGCCCAGTATATTGAATGTTTCTATTGGAGCTATACCTATTGGCTTGAGGATTTTATGTTGACGTCTCGATACTTGACAAATATAACATTTTATGACAAAGCCAAAATCACCAATCTCCAATTGCATTTGTCTGAACTTCCAATAACATTTATGGATCCAGTCGAAATGTTGGACGCAATGCTAAAGACAACTGGTTTTGACCCTGCAACGTTTTCAACTGACTCGTTTGTTATTTCAACATTGAATACTTATTACACGCAGATAAATAATGGAATCGATCGGCCAGAATTAATTTTCTTTAGGTCGCTGATTGATACACTTGGTGATGGATTAAAAGATCGCTTCAATGGTGATTTATATGCTGAAATTGACGATAAAGAAATTACTTTCTTGATTGATAGTTGTGCTCCTATAACATACATGTCCTCTCACATCATGCCAACTACAACGTCGACCTGGTACCCTTCTTCCAGCCAATATCATACTTCTCCTGTTCATTTTTACCAATTAGGAGATGACATGGTTTCTGGAATGAAGGCTTATGACATGGGCCTAGTCGCCCAGTATATTGAATGTTTCTATTGGAGCTATACCCATTGGCTTGAGGATTTTATGTTGTCGTCTCGATACTCGACAAATATAACATTTTATGACAAAGCCAAAATCACCAATCTTCAATTGCATTTGTCTGAACTTCCAAGAACACTTATGGATCCAGTCGAAATATTGGACGCAATGCTAAAGACAACCGGTTTTGACCCTGCAACGTTTTCAACTGACTCGTTTGTTATTTCAACATTGAATGCGTATTACACGCAGATAAATAATGGAATCGATCGGCCAGAATTGATTTTCTTTAGGTCGCTGATTGATACACTTGGTGATGGATTAAAATATCGCTTCAATGGTGATTTATATGCTGAAATTGACGATAAAGAAATTACTTTCTTGATTGATAGTTGTGCTCCTATAACATACATGTCCTCTCACATTATGCCAACTACAACGTCGACCTGGTACCCACCTTCCAGCCAATATCATACTTCTCCTGTACATTTTTACCAATTAGGAGATGACATGGTTTCTGGAATGAAGTCTTATGACATGGGCCTAGTTGCCCAGTATATTGAATGTTTCTATTGGAGCTATACACATTGGCTTGAGGATTTTATGTTGACGTCTCGATACTTGACAAATATAACATTTTATGACAAAGCCAAAATCACCAATCTCCAATTGCATTTGTCTGAACTTCCAATAACATTTATGGATCCAGTCGATATGTTGGACGCAATGCTAAAGACAACTGGTTTTGACCCTGCAACGTTTTCAACTGACTCGTTTGTTATTTCAACATTGAATACTTATTACACGCAGATAAATAATGGAATCGATCGGCCAGAATTGATTTTCTTTAGGTCGCTGATTGACACACTTGGTGATGGATTAAAAGATCGCTTCAATGGTGATTTATATGCTGAAATTGACGATAAAGAAATTACTTTCTTGATTGATAGTTGTGCTCCTATCACATACATGTCCTCTCACATTATGCCAACTACAACGTCGACCTTGTATCATTCTTCTCACTTGCTATCATCTGTACAAATAAAATCAAGTATATTTAACTCAGTTCCAATATATACATCGTCATCCTATAGTGTAAGTAGACCAATTAGGACTAGCATTTATCCTACAGGGAATAGTTATAATCAAACTTCAATACTTGGATCAACTTCATCAAGTCTCGTTTCACTATGGAACAATCGTATTTTATCGACCATTTCTGTTTCTCCTTCAACTTCAATCTTCGGTCTAAGTATACTAAGTCCTGTTTATCCAACAAGCAGTCGGATTGTAACGATTCCACCATCTTATTATTCAGGTTCAATGCTCGGATCAAGCACGTCAAGTCATCTTTATTCATCAGTCAGTCGAATACAAACAAATACGTTAACTTCTAGTAAATCTACATTACACAGTATGTCATTTAGTATTCATCCAACAAGAAGTCATACTGTTAAAACATCGTCTGCTTTGAATCAATTTTCTGTGACTAAATCAAATGTATTTACTGGAATTCATCCCATTAGCAGTCGAACTTTTACGACTCCATCAGCTTCTCTTCAAAGTTCAGTACCTATACTAAGTACATCAAGTCATGCTCATCTTACAAATCATCTTGTTACCACATGGATTTCTGCTCGTCAAAGATCTGTTGTATTTGGAACCAGTATTCCTATTGTTACTACCTTGTCTGCTCCCAAAACGTCAGTATTAAAATCCAGCATATTGACTGGTATATATCAAACTAATATTGTAACAACTTCGACGGCATCTCGTAAACTGTCTGTATCAGGACCAAGTATATCAAATAGTGTTTATCCAAGCAGTGCGACAACTGGTGTTTATCAAACAAGGAAGTATGTTACTTTCTCATCTGCTTCTCGTCAAACTTCGGGCCCTGGTTCAAGTACCTCAACCAGTGTATATCCAGCAAGTAGCCTAGTTCCTACGTCGTCGACTGTGTCTTACCAAATCACTATACCTAGTTCATATACATCAACAGGAGTTTATTCAACAAATAGCCATTTCGCTACGGTCACGTCGTCCGATTTAAGTACGTCAAACGGGGTTTATCAAACAAACAGTCACATAGTTACCTTTTTGTCAGCATCTCATCAAACCTCGGTCCCTAGATCATCCGATGTTAAAACAAAAAGTAGCCCCCTTATTACAACTTCAACTCGTCAAACTTCCATTCCTGGATCAAGCTCACCAAGTGGTATAAATCCAACAAGCAGCCGCTTTTCTGCAACATCGTTTTCAACTCTTCAAACCTCGATTCCTGGACCAAGTTCATCAAGTGGTGTAATTCAAAAGAGTAGCACTTCGACGTCTTCATGGACTCGTCAAACCTCTATTCCTGGACCAAGTTCATTAAATGGTGTAAGTCGCACTACGACTTTGTTCTCAACTCGTCAAACTTCGATTCCTGGATCAAGTTCGTTCAGTGGTATAAACCCAGCAAGCAGTACCGTTACTACAACTTCTTCCTCTACTCGTCAAACAGCTGGTCCTGGATCAAGTTCTGTATCTGGTGTCCATCAAACAAATACTCCTATTACCAAGACCTCTTTTGGATTGAGCACCTCTTCGGCCTATGGTAAAAGCTCAATTCATGGATATAGTTTGTCAAATGGCATTTATTTGACAAGTAGTTTCAGTAGCCTCGTTGCTACGACGAAGTCGACAGATAGTAAATCTTCAGTGCCCGTAACCAGTACGTCAAACGGAGTTTATCACACAAGCAGTTACATAGTTTCCCTTTCTTCAGCATCTCATCAAAGTTCGGTACCTAGATCATCTGGTGTTAATTCAAAAAGTAGTCCCCTTATTACGACTTCAACTCTTCAAACCTCGATTCCTGTATTAAGGTCATCAAGTGGTGTTGCTTCAATATCGTCTTCAACTCGTCAAACTTCCATTCCTGGATCAAGAACTACAAGTGGTGTTAATCCGACAAGCAGCCTCTTTGCTTCAGCATCGTTATCAGTCCGTCAAACCTCTATTTCTGGATCAAGTTCATCAAGTGGTGTAAATCAAAGGAGTAGCATCGTTACTCCGACCTCTTCTGTTATTCGTCAAACCTCCATTCCTGGATCTAGTTTATCAAGTGGTGTAAATCCAATTACGACTTCGTCTTCTGGAACTCGTCAAACCTCCATTACTGGATCAATTGTATCAAGTAATGTAAATCCAACTATGACTTCGTCTTCTGGAACTCGTCAAACTTCCATTCCTGGATCAAGTTTATCAAGTAATGTAAATCCAACTATGACTTCGTCTTCTGGAACTCGTCAAACCTCCATTACTGGATCAATTGTATCAAGTAATGTAAATCCAACTATGACTTCGTCTTCTGGAACTCGTCAAACTTCCATTCCTGGATCAATTGTATCAAGTAATTTAAATCCAACTATGACTTCGTCTTCTGGAACTCGTCAAACCTCCATTACTGGATCAATTGTATCAAGTAATGTAAATCCAACTACGACTTCGTCTTCTGGAACTCGTCAAACCTCCATTCCTGGATCAAGTTTATCAAGTAATTTAAATCCAACTATGACTTCGTCTTCTGGAACTCGTCAAACCTCCATTCCTGGATCAAGTTTATCAAGTAATGTAAATCCAACTATGACTTCGTCTTCTGGAATTCGTCAAACCTCTATTCCTGGATCAAGTTTATCAAGTGGTGTAAATCCAACTATGACTTCGTCTTCTGGAATTCGTCAAACCTCTATTCCTGGATCAAGTTTATCAAGTAATGTAAATCCAACTATGACTTCGTCTTCTGGAATTCGTCAAACCTCTATTCCTGGATCAAGTTTATCAAGTGGTGTAAATCCAACTACGACTTCGTCTTCTGGAATTCGTCAAACCTCCATTCCTGGATCAAGTTTATCAAGTGGTTTAAATCCAACAACGACTTCGTCTTCTGGAATTCGTCAAACCTCCATTCCTGGATCAAGTTTATCAAGTGGTGTTAATCCAACCATGACTTCGTCTTCTGGAATTCGTCAAACCTCCATTCCTGGATCAAGTTTATCAGGTGGTTTAAATCCAACTACGACTTCGTCTTCTGTAATTCGTCAAACCTCCATTCCTGGATCAAGTTTATCAAGTGGTTTAAATCCAACTACGACTTCGTCTTCTGGAATTCGTCAAACCTCTATTCCTGGATCAAGTTTATCAAGTGGTGTAAATCCAACTATGACTTCGTCTTCTGGAATTCGTCAAACCTCCATTCGTGGATCAATTGTATCAAGTGGTGTAAATCCAACTATGACTTCGTCGTCTGGAATTCGTCAAACCTCCATTCCTGGATCAAGTTTATCAAGTAATGTAAATCCAACTACAACTTCGTCTTCAACTCGTCAAACTTCGATGCCTGGATCAAGTTCGTTAAGTGTTCTAAACCCAAAAAGTAGTACCGTTACTAGAACTTCGTCCTCAACTCGTCAAACAGCGGTTACTGGATCAAGTATCACGACCTCTTTTGCATCACCTCAAACGTCCTCTGGGATGTCCTCAACACGCAGTCTTGGTGTTATGACATCCTCTACTTCTAGCCCTATAACTGCACAGACAAGCCAGACTGTTTCGGGATCATCCACTGTAAGTCAGACAACGACCTCTGCTGCGTCAACAGCTGTAATTTCTTGTATTCCAGGAACAGGATTCTGTGCAGATCCAGCTCTAGGCTCGAATGGTATGGTTAAACGATCAGCTTAAAACAAGTTTACATAAATATTATAATTTAAACTTAAATTTAACAAAATGTTAGTTAAATGATATAACAGATCCTGCAGTAAATGGTTCTGTTTCATGTCATTTAAAAATAATACATCTTTATAATTTTTCATACTTATTTCGTACTGATGGTCACATTAAAAAAGGACAGTACACTTGCAGATCAAATGTAAATAGTAAAATCGCAAAGATCATACATGTATTAATAGCATCAACGTTAAGTGCCAATAAAATTTAAACTTGATTTACATGTATTTATTTTGAATATGTACTTTAATTCATTTTGAATGTGTATGACTTGACAAGGTCCGAGATGTCGACATCATGAAAACATGTACTGTATGATCGTTTTCGTCAAATAGTAACGCCTATATAGTTGATTTTATAATTTATAGAAATAGAAGAAAAGGTTTTATCTCATCCAAGTTTTAAATCAATGCTGCTTGTGTAAATGAACCGCCCATTTTAAAGGGTTTTGTTTTTGTTTTTCAGCATGTAACATTTGGCCGTCTTTTTACGTGATGGTAGGGTCGTTAGTTATACTGTGGGTCACACTGAAGAGAGTCGGATGATGAAAGAAGGAGCATTCACGGACAGTCTTTACACATCTTGAGTCCGTAAAACTGATTGAACAACTATGTATGCACATCTACAACTAACGGTTTTTTCGTCTAAGAGTGCTATTTATTTATGTTTGTCTTTTCTTTTTTTAGTTTTTCGTATCTTTTCGCATTTCTTTAACAAATGCATGGATTTGCTTCTTACGTTTCACAAGAGGTCTGCAATAAAACGTAGACTTTATCAACTTATAAAATACTTATTGACCTGAGGCGTCATTATTGTGATAACTTGAATAGGATAGAAATGACGCCGCATATGACGTTACGAAGAGTATATGACGTTACCAAGAGAACAAAATAAAAAAATACATTTCGCTTTCATCCGAACTTACACAGAAACAAACAAAGTAGTCACAGTGATTCAATGTCAATAAATCAGTCTTATTCGATAGTTTAAAACTAATTGACGTCTATAATAGTACATGTATATACAAAACCTAAGACGTGATTTTTAATTCTATTTATTTATCATTTATTTTTATTTACTTTTTTGAGTGGGGGGGGGGGAGATATTTCTTATTATATTAATTTTTAAATGGTATTATAACATCGTCATTAACACTTTTTGACAGGTTATAAATATACTCTTGTAATCACGTTTTGACTTTTGATATTCTTTTATATCATACTTTTTGTCAGAGTTGTTATATTAAGTACTTACTTATATATTTTATAGCATATTTAGTGTGTAAAAAGTTGTTTGTTATTTGTTTTTATTTAATGCTTTCCAGTGTTTTATTACAATATATCAGATGATTATATTCTGATAAACCACTAGTGAAATTTATAAAATATAATTTTCACTGTAGCCGGACTATATCTGAATGCGGATGAAAAGAAAATCATAACCAAATGGAATAACAGGCAGGAATAAATGCCGTCATACGTAAATTTGCTTAATTAGGAAAAGAAAGTCAATGTCATCATACATCATGTTAAAAAATTAACAAAATTAGAGAAATTTAACAGAACTATATTTCAAAACTTATGATGTGACGTCATGATATAATGACGTCACAAAGGAGAATGCGCGACGTTACGCGGCAAAATCAGTAAAAAAAATACTTAAAATCACTTAAAAAGCATAAAATAAAAAGAAAATTTATTTGTTTTACATATAAGATTGAAATATATTTCATTCGTGAACACTAGCTATTATATTTTCACTCGTGGCTACGCCACTCGTGAAAATATTGCATCTGGTGTTCACTCAGTGAAATTATATTTCAATCTTACATGCAAAACAAACAAATATCCTCTATATAATTGTACTTTAAAGTCAAACCGACAGTGTAAATGTAATACTAGTACGTTGCATTTCTAAAACGACCTAAGGTGTTCCTTCGTGCATTTTTAGACACGAACGGGCACCTGAATAGAACCAAGACCTTCCGTCAGCTTACTCGATAGCTTCCTCACATGAAAGAATCACATGAAAGTCCCTGATAGGATTCGATGCCAAATCGGTGAGTGAAATGAAGCCGGTGACCTTATCAACTCGGTCACGAAGGCCCTTCAGTATTAGAAATTGTTATGAAATAGTATAATGATTCGAAACAGGAAAATTTTGACCTTATTTTTATAACTGATTAAAAGAAGGTCCGCATGAACCTTTAGTTAAATAGTGCGGATACTTATTATAATAATACTTGATGGTATTGTATATATATATCGGTGACCTAAATGCGTTACAAAGCCGATCTCAGCCTGATCTCTTTTCTAAATAAGTTGCACAAGACTTTCTTAAGGCGAACAATTATTTTACTGACGTCGTTATAGGAATAATATTTGTCCTCAAAACTGTCGTGAAGCTCCTTTACTGACTTACGTCTCAATTTAAACAATGGTGATTGTGTGAAGATTAATCTTTATTGTTGTAACGAAATATTTTAAATAAACTTGGCGGATACAAGTTGAAGTACAGTATTGACCTAAAATGTCGGGATAAGGAACTTTGTTTCAAAACATAATAGCGTATCAGTGATATAATTTATTTGAGTTAAATGTTAAAAGTAATATTTGTCCACAAATAAAGCCACTTTTTAGATAACCTATGTAGTGTGAGTTCAAATATGTACAAACCAGGCAACTAACATGTACCCGTAAAATCTCAAAATTATGGGGGCGGGCGGCGAGGGTTGCGAGAAAGATGGAATTAGATAGAATTGTTTTTATATAAATGATAAAACTTTACACCTCATTCACACAGTTTAGTAATAAAACGAAGATAGTTATTGGCAAATCAATCAATCAATGAAATCAATCATTAAACAATCAATCATCAATCAAAAACAAATGGTACGAAATTGCCATATAAACAGGCTTTTTGCCAATATTGGTTAAACATCAAATCTCCAGATATATGCTCCATGCAGTTTGATGACGAGTTCTAAGAATGATTTTAAAAAGTATTAATAAGTTGAGAACAATGAAAGATTTAATGTGGAAAGTTCAGGCAAAATGATATTAGTCATTAATTAGTTTTTGCAAATTTATTTTAGTTCAATTTTGTTAGAAGCTTATTGAAGCATCCTCGAATCCATTCCTGGAACCAACCAGTACTAAGCAATGAATGTAACTTTCTTGCTCAAGGTGAAAACGGCTTGCCCCTGACTGGGTCCGAACCCACGCAGGCAGCAATCATTAGTTTACTAGTCCGACGCATTAACCACTCGGCCACTTTAAAAAGAACTAGAAATTAATGGAAATTAAATTAATGAATCGTTTATAATATTAAAAACAATACTAATGATGATGATTACTGATAAACTCAAACAAATTGAATTTGTAAAAAGATTTTCATACAAATTAATTTTAAACTCTTTTAAAGTTAGTTCATCATTTTCCTTTACCATACAGTAGGGTGACTATGGATTAAATTTCGGTTAAGTAGTGTATAAATTTAGACATTGTTGAATTATAGGTAGTGCTATAAATAAAGCTGTGAACTACATGTATAGAGAGCGGTATAACTGACAACCTGATTTAGATTAAAGTAACGCATAATACATGTATACAAGACAAATATTTTGATGGAGGATCATAGAAGAAGTTTAAAAAGGTGTGCTTAACATAAATAATAGACACAATAAAATGTAACACTGAAGTCAATGTACTTCTAAGATCAGAGCATTCATGAAAGATCATCGATGGTGGTCTTATTATTAAAGCCAGGTTCAGAGTGAAAAATCATTGCAAAGTTTATATTTCTTTGAGAAGATCAACAGCCAAACAGACTTTTATAGTACATGCCTTAAACCAATTTGTTCAGTTGATATATATTTTTATTTAAGTATTTATTTATCTATTTACTAAAGGAAAATTTCACTAAATTTTTATTGCCGTTACCTTATTTACTGACTAAAAATACTTATAAATATATTGTATATTATTTGACCCTGATGGTCAATGTTATTTATATGTCAAGGTCATATTTGAGTTCCTTAACATTCCAGTTTTATATAAAGTTTTCGCTTGTCCAAGTGTAAATCAAATCCATAAATAAATTTATAGCCAACTGTAGCAAAATTTATTAATTTAACCTTTAATGTCCTAGTCAAATTAAGATCAAGTTCAACTAAATCCTATTTAATGTCTTTTCCCAAAGATCGTTCAGCACAAGTATGAAGGCAATCCATTTATAAATTACAAAGTTTGAGCCAATTATAGCAAATAAACTGAATTTAAAATAAGTTGACCTCCAACGTCCATGTTATTTAAAGGTCAAAGTCAAATTAAGTTTGATCTTGTACACATTTTATTACAAGTATGAATACAATCCATTCATTAATAACAAAGTTTGGCCAGTTATATCAAAACTCATTAATTTGACCTTCAATGTCAAGGTAATTGATAAGTGAATGACATACTTAATTTGCTCTGCTTAAATGTCTTGTCCATTTAATTATCATTAATTTGACTTTCAATGTCAAGGTCATTGGTGAGTGAATGTGGTACTTAAATTGGTTTACTTATAGGTCTTGTTAAAAGATTACAAGCATACAAGCATGAAAACAACCCATTCATTAATAACAAAGTTATATAGCCAATTATAACAAACTTCTAGCATATGACCTTGAACGTCAAGGTCATTCGAGTTCAGGTTAAGTTCAGTCTGGACTATTTGAATGTCCTATCTGAAGGGTTGCTATGTTCAAGTACAAAAACAATAAACAAAGTTTCTTGACAGCAACCACAACATCAACCTGACTGTAGTAATAGCTCAATTTTTTCTGTAAAATCAAGCAAAAAAAACAACAACTCTGGAGATCTCCCATTATTAAATGAAACCAAACTGTTCTACCAAATCCAACAGAGGAAAACAGTACTAATTTGTATTAACCTAAGTTTACTTCAACAAAAAACAAAGAAAAGAAAATTCATGCGATAGTTTATTAGATTAAATAAATTTTAACAATAACAATGTGCTAAAGATTTGTAACATTACTAAGGCATCTTTCTTTATAGAATCTATGTCTGTTTGTAGCCTCGTCTTTTTTACCCATGAACTTAATTAGTGACTGTACATTTTGATTCTCTTCTTCTTCATCATCTTCCCTGTAAATCACAAAAATAGTTGTGGGATAAACATTTTCCCAGGTTAAGCAATGATAGATTAACAATTCATATCTTTGCCGGAAATAAACTGTCTGTTTCCCTGGAGATGCAATGACATTAATTCAACTAACATTTCCCTTAGAAATGCAATGACAGATTGAAAACTGACATTTTCCCTGGCAATAAAAAATTGACATTTTCCCTGGCAATAAAATAATCATTTAACAATAATTTTCCCTTCAATGCAAAGAGAGTTGAACAATTGACAATAGCCTGGAAATGCAACAATAGATTAACAATTGACATATTCCCTAGAAACACCGACAGTTTGACAAATTGACATTTTGCCTCGGAATGTAATGTTAATGAAACAGTTCACTGTGTTAACAATGAAATAATCTTTATAATATGAAACTGAAATTTATTTGAATATGATTCTGAAGAGTAATAATGCATGTAATCTTTAACCATGAATAAAATATGGTAAGGGATTTTTTTTTGTTAATAAAGGGCCATTATTCAGTCAGACTCCATGGTAGGGTTATGGGTCTTTGATAATGAACACCTATTACAATCATATGATTGTGAAGTCACAAGCAAATATCTCTATTGGCTGATGAGATAAGACTTACAAGACATAGCACATTATACCGTAAAATTCCTATTAAACGCCCCCGGGGGCTAAACATTTTCCAAAAGGGGGGCTATTATTACAATACAGTTTTTCCTAAATCCAAAAATCACTGTAAATATATATAGAGTTAGCAAGTGTTGGTAATAACATTAAAAAGTGTTAAGGTTTTAAAGTTCATATTATACATATTTGTGTTTACTATAAAATACTATGGATTCTGAATGAATTGAATAAAATTATGGCTTTAATTATGAGTTCAGCACTGATGAGTAGATTGTTTTCCTTATCAAAATGCCTGGGGGAGCTTTTATTAGGAATGGGGCTTTTATTAGGAATTTTACGGTACTTTATCAAAATTGTTACACCAATGATGATGTCTGGGTCAGTAATTAAGCTATAGTCAACCTACAAATATGTGGTGGTTCGGTAAACTAAAATAGTACCACAATGAAGGAAATGTCCCAGTAAGTAGAATAGCTTTCCCTATTATACTACAAAAATACTGCCAAAAATATTGCGAAGTTTTATCAAAAGCTACTTGGAAGCATCCTTCAAAAGCTTATCTAGTGTATTATATTATACTTTGAAAAAAACACTATTACATTTGCTGATTAAAAAATGCACATACATGTATATTACACTTTTAAAAATGTCAAAATATACCAGTAAAAGAAGGCTGGATGTATTTAAATTACCATTTAAATGTGGCTCCATTTTTTTGTATGATTTTATCTGCAGTAGACCAACTGAACCTCACAAACTGTGGAAATCCAAAAATGTGATCAAGACTGGCGGACATAAACTTCTTTGTGCTTGGATCTGTGAACAGAAAATAAACATTATCAACTGGCCATGTTTGGTTTTACGGCACACCAACACAGTATATGTCATAAGTTACTGAAACAGGAAGATGATTTTGCCCAGCTTTGGGTGTTACAAACTTTTAAGCAACGCCAGGGGTAAAAACCACCTCACCTTTTGGAGCTGCATGCATAGACTCAAGTTATTTGAACCCATTTACTCGCTGCCTCTTACACTTACTAAGTGGATAAACAGTGGTTGCACTTCTTATGCCTCAACCATTAATGGCAACCCCTCAGCTACAAAGGGTAATTAATCTGCTAAATTTCTTAAATGCATTTGTCCTGCATATTTAATGAAACCCTCCATTATCCATTCCATTGATATCTTGATGAAAATTTTAATTTGCTCAGGCAACAGTGTAGAGATTGGTTGAAACAAAGACACAAAAGTTGGTCTTATTCTTCACTGATCATTGTTTGTTCTAGCATTTGAACAATTATTGTAAAGGATACAGTTTTCATAATAGAACATGTTATTTACAATTTCCTAATTTCTGAAAAAGAGCCCTTCTAATACCTAAAGCTTTAGTTCAGAAAAGTGTCCATAACTTGTAAACGGTACAGTCAATTTTGCTTAAATTTTGCATACATGTGTCCTTTAAGGCATATACATGTAACTGATTTATGTTGTCAATTTTTCAGTTCCTTATAGTACGGTGCATTCCTTAAGCATAAAAAAAAGCAAGCTTAAAACAACAATTTTAAGAAAACCACACTTTGTCACAAACGGTTTCAAAAATCAAACAAGAGGGCCATGATGGCCCTGAGGTCGCTCACCTGTATATAGGCCCCCCCATCCCCGGGCCAATTTTTACCCAAGGGCTTTTATTTGTTTATTTGAACAGACTTGGTAGACACCCATAAGAAGATGTTTCATGCTAAACATCTAAGTTCTAGCTCATTGGGTTTTTTTAAAAGAAGATTTTTTAAGTTTGAACTATACACATATAGTTAAAAACAATGACACCCCTGGGGCAGGGCCAGTTTTGACCCCCGGGCTTTTATTTGAACAAACTTTGTAGATATTTACTTAAAGATGTTTCATGCTTAATATCTAAACTCTAGCTATTTGGGTTTTTTCAAAGAAGATTTTTAAGTTTTTGCTATACACATATAAGGAAAATCAATGACCCCCACCCCCGGGCGGGCCAGTTTTGACCCCAGGCCTTTTATTTGAACATACTTGGTAGACACCCATTAGAACATGTTTCATGCTAAATATCTTAGCTCTAGCTCTTTGGGTTCTTTAAAAGAAGATTTTTTAAGTTTTTACTATATGCATATAGGGAAAATCTATGACCCCCTGTTGGGCGGGATCAATTTTGACCCCAGGGCTTTTATTTGAACAAACTTGGTAGACATTCACTAGAAGATGTTTCATGCCAAATATCTAAGCTCTAGCTCTTATGGTTCTTTAAAAGAAGATTTTTTAAGTTTTTACTATATGCATATAGGGAAAATCAATGACCCCCCAGAGCGGGGCCAATTTTAACCCCAGGGCTTTAATTTGAACAAACTTGGTAGACACTCACTAGAAGATGTTTCATGCTTAATATCTTAGCTCTAGCTCTTTGGGTTCTTTAAAAGAAGATTTTTTAAGTTTTTTTACTATATGCATATAGGGAAAATCTATGACCCCCTGGGGCGGGGCCAATTTTGACCCCAGGGCTTTTATTTGAACAAACTTGGTAGACACTCACTAGAAGATGTTTCATGCCAAATATCTAAGCTCTAGCTCTTAGGGTTGTTTAAAAGAAGATATTTAAAGATTTTTCTTTCGGTTGCCATGGCAACCAGAGTTCTGCATGGAATTAAATTCTTTGAACAATTTTTAAAGGTGACCACCAAAGGAACATTCCTGTGAAGTTTGGATGAAATTGGCTCAGTGGTTTATGAGGAGATGTCATTTAAAGCAAAAGTTTACGGACGGACGACGGACGGACGGACGGCGGACGAAAAGCGATCACAAAAGCTCACCCTGTCACTTTGTGACAGGTGAGCTAAAAAGCTCTAGGCCCTTGCATAATTTAGGCCTGGTTAAAATTCTACTTAAATCACAAATTCTTGTTTAAATTTTTCATCATATCTTACTTACCACTAGGGTAACCAGAACCATAGTTTCCATCTGTTTCTATATTTTCTCCAAAACTCCAACTCTTTACAGCTTTGTCTCGAGCCACCTATGTATAACAATAATCTTTTAATTAACAGATTATTTATTTTGTGTGTTTTTAAAGGCCAACTATGCCTCAGAAATGCTATGAATTTTATTTATCAAAACTTTTAATTTTAGTCTTTTCTTACAGTTTCCAAAAGTACTTAATAGCCATATTCATGAACTCTCTCTCTGTTGACAATTGGTATAATTTTAGTGAATTAATATTTTAAATGAAGTCGAAATACTTCTTTGTTTACATTTTCCTACATTTTCCTTCTTTTATGACACATTACTGCACATTCAACGCTTCTTTTTCAGTTGTTAATCATCTATTCTAACAGCTCATTAAGCCATTATTAAAACATTATTAAACACATATTTGACATTTCTAAAGAATTATTTATAAGATATTTGTTTCTGAGCCATAATGAGTCTTCAAGTCACACTGACAGTACAAAGGTTATCATACGGCAACTTTTCTGCTTCATCACTAGACGACAGAGATCTCTAATGAAGAGATTATGGTCCATAAGCATTGAACAACAATTTCTTTGATGTAAAACTTACATGTGAAACAAAATTTTCATTCTGCCACGCGTAAAGAACAGTTATTTATTTGGTTACTTTTTGTTTTTTCGGGAGAACAATAATGTACAACACAAATAGTTTCAATTTAACAAGACGGACTACAAGAAGGCCACTTGCTGTTGTTTTTGCTTATGGACCTTAACCTGTTTATTAGGGATCTCTGTGGCCACATAGTATATTTGAGCCGCGTCACGACAAAACCTACATAATGGGTTTGCGACCAGCATGGATCCAGACCAGCCTGCACATCCGTGCAGCCTGATCAGGATCCATACTGTTCGCTATCAGTTTCTCTACTTGTAATACAGTTGGTAAGCGAACAGCATGGATCCTGATCAGACTGCGCGGATGTGCAGACTGATCTGGATCCATGCTGGTCGCAAACTCATTATGTTGGTTTTGTCGTGACGCGGCTGATTTATAGAAAGAGAATTTGAGAAAATGTGTTGTCCTGTAATAACTAGTATAAAGTATAGGGACATCACATAGTGATTATTGTCATGGTGTTCAATCAAGAGACACTTTTTGTTTGCTTTAAATTAGAATCAGGGCAATAAGCCCAATAAATAAGTCCAGCTGTATGAAAAGTTTTTTATGACCGGAAATTTTTCCAGATTAATGCTCCATTTGATGTAGGTCTAGACTAACAACTTTTGCTGTAAAATTGTCATCATAAAATGTGCAAAATATACCGAAATGGAAACCGTTTACTAAAAATATGTCAAGAATGACAAAAAAAAACAGTTGATTTTCATTATAATTCTGGATATACTTGTTTATCACCTTTTGCATGTTTTCATTTTAAAGAAACTCTTCTGATGTCCAAAAGCGTAAAAAACATGAAATTGAATTTCTTACATAGGGACCAGAAAATAAGATGTGCAAAAGATATTTGAAGTAAGAAATATACTCAGAAATAAATTGAAAATCATATATTTATGCTTTTCTCAACTCCGCCCGATTGGAGTAAACAAGAGGGCCATGATGGCCCTGAGGTCGCTCACCTGTATATAGCCCCCCCCCCCCAACGTTGCAGGGCCAATTTAACCCAAGGGCTTTTATTTGCACAAACTTGGTAGACACCCATAAGAAGATGTTTCATGCTAAACATCTAAGCTCTAGCTCATTGGGCTTTTTAAAAGAAGATTTTTTTAAAGTTTTTACTATACACATATAGTTAAAAACAATGACACCCCTGGGGCCCGGCCAGTTTTGACCCCAGGGCTTTTATTTGAACAAACTTTGTAAACACTTACTAGAAGATGTTTCATGCTTAATATCTAAACTCTAGCTATTTGGGTTTTTTCAAAGAAGATTTTAAGTTTTTGCTATACACCTATAAAGAAAATCAATGACCCCCGGGGCGGGGCCAATTTTGACCCCAGGTCTTTTATTTGAACAAACTTTGTAGACACTCACTTAAAGATGTTTCATGCTTAATATCTTAACTCTAGCTATTTGGGTTTTTTCAAAGAAGATTTTTTAAGTTTTTGCTATACACATATAAGGAAAATCAATGACCCCCGGGCCGGTGCCAATTTTGACCCTAGGGCTTTTATTTGAACAAACTTTGTAGACACCTATTAGAACATGTTTGATGCTAAATATCTTAGCCATAGCTCTTTGAGTTCTTTAAAAGAAGATTTTTTAAGTTTTTACTATATGCATATAGGGAAAATCAATGACCCCCTGGGGCGGGGCCAATTTTGACCCCAGGGCTTTTATTTGAACAAACTTGGTAGACACCTATTAGAACATGTTTGATGCTCAATATCTTAGCCATAGCTCTTTGAGTTCTTTAAAAGAAGATTTTTCAAGTTTTTACTATATGCATATAGGGAAAATCAATGACCCCCCTGGGCGGGGCCAATTTTGACCCCAGGGCTTTTATTTGAACAAACTTGGTAGACACCCATTAGAACATGTTTCATGCTAAATATCTTAGCTCTAGCTCTTTGGGTTCTTTAAAAGAAGATTTTTTAAGTTTTTACTATATGCATATAGGGAAAATCAATGACCCCCTGGGGCGGGACCAATTTTGACCCCAGGGCTTTTATTTGAACAAACTTGGTAGACACTCACTAGAAGATGTTTCATGCCAAATATCTAAGCTCTAGCTCTTATGGTTTTTTAAAAGAAGATATTTAAAGTTTTTTCTTTCGGTTGCCATGACAACCAGAGTTCTGCATGGAATTAAATTCTTTGAACAATTTTTAAAGGTGACCACCAAAGGAACATTCCTGTGAAGTTTGGATGAAATTGGCTTAGTGGTTTATGAGGAGATGTCATTTAAAGCAAAAGTTTACGGACGGACGGACGCCGGACGAAAAGCGATCACAAAAGCTCACCCTGTCACTTTGTGACAGGTGAGCTAAAAATCATTTTCAATTTTGGGTCACTTATCACATAATAATTATTATTCTGTTAAAAAAGGAGTCAGCAAATGATCTCATGTTATTGTTCTAGAACTGCATCAAATGGCACATTAATCTAGGAAAATTATTTCTAGTCTAGTCATGTCAAAAACTCTCAGTGGAGTCCCTTTAATGCTCCAGATGATCTATGTAAGAATTTCATTTTCTATGTTTTAGGACCTCAGTTGACCTCCTTTAAAGAAACACTATATATATTACCTTAGCACATATACTAGCAGCTCCAACAATTTGATAATCTGCATCAGCTTTCTTAGCAACTGTTATATCTATACTTGGAAATAATGCTTTCAATTTGTCCTGATATTTTACTGGATCCCCAACTGTATCCACATATATCTGTAATTTAAATATGAAATTTCATTTGTAACCAGTAATAAGAAATTGTTGACAAACGTACACAAACAGAGATGACCCTCAACAGTTGGTCATAAAAGACTATGAACATGATATGCTTTTATATGATAATATTTAATATATTCAATTTTGTACTTGTATGTTTATATTATATTTTGGCTTGTTTTGTTTTACAGGGCACTGCCACAGCTTAGGTCATATGGCGCCCAAATAGGAGATATGATTTTGGCTAACCTCAGGTGTATTTTTGGGGTTTTAGATTAACATGAATCATTTCCCCCCTCAGTGGCAAGCCATTGTTTCCATTAGCAAAAAATTTACACTCATTGCTTAAGACTATTGGTCAAACATATGGAAATAAAAATAAATTGTATAAACTAAGTAACTTCAGCAAAATGTAAGCCTTATTTAATGTTAATCATCTATTTAAACTGGTCTAGAAGGTTGATCTTTTAGTACATCTCTTGTGAAGTGTAAATTTATCCTTACAAAGTGACGTGTTATATAATTTCAACCCAATCTATTATTATTCACCACTATTTGACTAAATATGTATTAAATGTTTGTGTCTTGCCTGTTTTTCACTGGAACAAAACTACAAAATGGTACCAAACTTTTAAATTTTCCGTCTTAAAAATTGGTAAAAACATTGTCAGAATTAGAATTACCTCTGCAACATTCACACCTTGATCAAGAACTCTCTGTATTAAACCAATCGCACAATCATGTGACAAAGCATTTAAGTTATACTTAGATCTGAAAAGAGAAAAATATATTTCATCTTATAACAAACTGTAGGAGTAATACTTTTATAACAAACTACATGTGTATAATTATGAGTAAGACTTCTTGTCAGACAACCATTTTGACAACATAACACTCATTGTCAGATGATAAAATTCTCACTAAAAGCCCCAGCAGTGTAATAGAATAAATCCCAAGCCATTTTGGCAACAAAACAAAAACCAGTCTGCATTAAATTGACCCAGCAGTGTGGGAACAGACAGAAGGCAAAATTCCGGCCACTCCCTCACCCTTCTCAAGGGATTTGGCTTAGAATTGACTGGTGCATACCGTAACTTTCTATTTTCGCCATAAAAGTGTATCATATCAAACAATGGTGGCTTTAAAAATATCAAAATTTAAGATGCCATGAATACAGGTTTCCTTTGATAAATTCATCATATTAAATTTTGAACTGTGACACTCAAAATTTGCACAAGACAGTATCAAAGTGTAAAACTAATTTTTTACTAAATCACAAAGGTCATACCAGGTCTCAAACATTTTTTTTGTTGGGTTTGTCACATCAACATGGCATCTTTCCAGCTTTACTGGTGGAGGAAGACCTAAGATACCCCTTCATTCAATATTTCATGCAGGTACAGGCACCCGAGTAGAACCACAAACATTTCATCAAATGTAAGAATCCAAAATCACTGACTGGATTCGAACCAACAGCAAAGAGGGTCAAGTGGTTTGAAGTCAATGACCTGAACTATTTGGCCACGGACGCTCCTGGGTCTCAAACTTTGTCACTGAAAGGTTGATCTTTGTGATCTCAACACAGAAAAGCATAAAATGAAATGTACCTTCTGAGCATGCTATTTGATATATATGTTGGGGAGAGTATTTCCACCATCCAGCCAATCAATTCTTTTGCTCCATTCAATTTCTCGAAAATACTTTCACGCTGTTCTTCAGTGAGTGTCTTTGAGTCTAAAAGTAACAATCAAGATGTATGGTGATAGAAGTTAAAATCTAATTATTTTGTCATGTCATCTGCTATATTTTATTCTGATCCCTATCTCAAACCTCATTAGTCAGTGTAAATTTTGAGTCAGTTTGTGACCAATCGAATAACGCTATTGATATAAAGTAGTATAATGTGCAACTGTTAACTTTATGTTGGTTACCTCTCCTTACATTGTGTTGTAACCAAGTGTAAAGGGAGGGAATATATTGACCCATATTTGCAAACAAGAAAACTGTAAGAATGTTATCTCTAATGTACATCAGTCTTCCATTTAGAATGTTAATTCATTTAGAGACTTATATAGCTCTGTGATTCAATTTATACCCAGGTTTTTTTGGGGCTTATTTTATAGCCGTTATTGGGTCATATTCCCAATTGAAAATAGTATATTATTTTCCCAATCCACAGGAAAAAAATCCCAATTGAAAGTTACAAAATAAAAATATTGAAAAAAAATCTAAAATCTTTGAAAATAAAGGCTCCTTCACTGTAATAGTGCTAAAATGTTTGAAGATGCCATGCTAGACATTTAATCACTGTAAAATTTCAGTCATGTATTTTTCCCCAATTTTTAACAAAAACACTACTGAAATTCCCCATTCCATGGGTATGGTCCCAAAATCCTTAAAAAAATCCCTGATACCTGCGAATTTTAGATCCTCAAGATCTTGTTTCTTACAAATTGGACTATAACAAGTACCATATACCATTGGACCTGAAATCAATGATAAACATGTATTAAGTTATACCAAGATTATTGCATACATATTTCATCCACTGTAAAATGATATGTTATAATAAATTACAGTAGAACTTCGGTAAGTCGAAGTTGAAGGGACTTGCGTAAAAACTTCGACACATCGGGACTTCGACTCATGAATCGCTCTCAATTCCATGACAAAATTTCGACCCGTGACTAGTCCTAATTATAAGCTCTATAAAGAAACATATTTCATGTTTTTCCATCATTAATCTTATCTTTAAATTTTACAATGATAAATATAGCATGTCAAATTATGTTTTTCACGACTACCCAAAGAGTTACAAAAGGCGTATGATTACGAAAGGGCGATAACTAAACCAGCTTATAGTAAATATTTCGCGTGTTATTCTCACGCGACACCGGGTCAAGGATGTTTTCAAATGAAAGTAGTGAAGTAGTTCTTACTGTTTACTTTCAAATACCAATACGGCAATTAAAAAAGTTACGATTAAAGCATTTTATCACACATTTTATCGCAAACAAAGGCTGTTTGAACACACGGCTGTGTTATTAACACCTATCACACAAGTTGATTGGAAATCGTCTTCGCAGCCAGATAAGGTGTGAAAAATGTCTCGAGGTCAAAGGTGTTAAAACAATCCAACGACTTCGACTTATTTGTGGTAAATTGCACTATATTTACTTTATACGGACAACGAAAAAACCTCGACACATCGAAAAATTCGACACATAAAATTTCGACTCATAAATAGGTTTTTATAAGGAATATATAGGGGGGAAAGTCGGGACTTTCATTTTTATTCGACACATCGAGAAAATCGACTAATCGAAGTTCGACTGATAGAAGTTCTACTGTACTTGTGTTTTACAATTTATATACAGGGATCAGGCAAGTGTTTGGATAGTGTAAAAATCAATTCTAGAAGGAAAACAATTTCTTTATTCTATTAGTGTTCGTTTCAAAAAAAATTTCTAGAAAAAAACAATACCTTATATATGCTGATATATTATATACAGCACATGTATGGATTATAACTGTTACGATTTTTTTTTAATAGAGAAGTTTTTTTGCACTATCACAACTAGAAAGTTCAAACACTGTGTTGGTTTATTCAGAGACATCACAGGTGTTCGATAGTCCAACTAATTGTACTCCGCGACGAGATATTGTGCTATTTTCGTGTCTGGACAATATCTCGCCTCTACAAAGCGAGATTCTGCCCTAGAACGAAAATATCTCAGAATCAAGCTTTGGCACGTCAATATATTTTGACTAAGGTGTTCGATTAGTCCGACTTATTTGACTTGTCAGAGACATCAAGATAATTTTGGACAGGTGATGTCTTTTTACGGTTTGACAGTAAGAAAAAAAGATTGTAAAATGGGTCAAACCGCTCATGCCAAATTGATTAGGCTAGTGTTCAATGTGTGGCCATGACTTACACTATACCCTGTTCCCCCTTGACAACCCAAACTCCAAACATCAGTCATAAAAAAAATTATTCGAACATATAATTGAATTTTGTCAATAATTTTGATGTTTGTACAAAAGAGATCTTGTTCTTCTTTTATAAAATAAGAATATAATTGAATTTTGTCTTGTACTTTTACACTAACAGATCTTTTTCTTCTTTGATAAAATAATAAATGAAATCTTATAGAAATTATGGATTTGCTGGAAACTGTATGTGAACTTATGTAAGCTATACACTTGATTATTTATCTCACAAGGTGGTGATTGCCTATTGAAATGAAGTAAAAAACATGTAAATGATGTAAATATGTTTTGGGTACGATTTTATTTGGGTACGAATTATTGAGCTGTTGAGTGCTTGCATCTTCAACCTACCTAACACGGGTCCACGTCCAGCTTCGTCTATACCAAGCCAGCATGGTTCTGACTTCGTGGCATCCGGTACCTCAGATCCGATAATGCAATTACTTGTGTTATCGTTCTCAAATGATGTTTGATCCATCTCTATTTGTTGCTTTTACGCGCGAAATGGCATTACGAACCTAGGATGAATGCCGCTAATTTACACATGGTACAAGGACATGGGCTAAACGCCGCTAAATTAAAACAAATAAACTTTTAATTGTTCACTATCTGTCTTATTTTTAGTAATAAATGCGTGAATCAAGAAATGTTCATGTTTGTCATAACCAAACAATGCACCTTTTATGGGGATATGGTGGTCTTCCTCCAGAACTCAAGAAGCGAAATACTTAGGAGTCACTATTAGTCAAGACCTTTCAATGGACCAAACATATAAACAACATTACATCTAAAGCAAATAACCCCCTCAGATTTATTAGAAGAAATGTTAAAACCCCAAATAAAAAGATAAAGGAAACTGCATATAAGACCTAAGTTAGACCTCAGGTTGAATATTGCTCCATAGTTTGGCATCCTTGGCAGAAATACTTAATTTATAAGATAGAGCAAGTACAAAGATCAGCTGCTAGATACATTTTAATGATTATGACTATACAAGTAGTGTCTCAAAAATGATGAATGATCTAAATTGGCAAACCCTTGAACAGCGTCGAAACATTAGTGCTGTAACCTACTTGTATAAAATCCAAAACAACATTGTTTTTGTTGACCACCAACACCTTACTCAAACAAGAAATCTGAACTACCTGATACCCTACTCAAGGACACAATATCATCAAAATTCTTTCTTTCCTAGGAGCATACGTCTTTGGAATAGCCTTCCTCTAACTGTTCAGTCTAGCCCCAGTTTAAACATCTTTACTGAGAGGCTTGACCCATTCTATAAATTCTAAATTGCACACTATGTCTTTTAAATTAATAGTCTTGTAGTACTTTTATTCTTTTAACTTTTTAATTTGCATATAAATAATTTCTTTTATTAACAGTTCCCTGACAACGCGCCTGCTAGTCATAATCAGAATTGATTGTTAAGCAGTATAAATGTAGATGTAGAAGAAAAATGAAATTTATAACGGACTACAATTGTGAAATGGTGACTCATGGTGCATTTTAGAATTATTAATATCAACATTGTATATGCCCTTAATTTGATGATAGAGATTTATATGTTATAAAAGTATATGAATGGGCAACTGAAATTGTTTATCGTTCACGCCAGGGTCTTTAAAAACACCATTCACACAATGCAAATTATAAAATTGCAAAACGAAAACCTATTTTGACTTTCATCTGTTCACTCACTATATGCCCTTGGATGGGCAAATTTTCACTTTAAAATAAATAAAACGTTCCGACTATACTCAAAAAGTGTAGGAGTAGGACATAATATGGTACGATATCTGTCACTTCAGTTTCAGTGTAAGGGAGAAAACTCCAAAAATCATTATCAACGGTGAGCAAATTGCCACCCTTACTATAACACTTGTAAATAGTTTCATACGGATAGACACACAGCCTAAAACATACAGTGTACATGTACAGGGTAATCCAAAGTATGTGTCAAGACACATATGAAGAGACTTTGCTCTATCATTTTGGGTTCAAATTGTATGAACATGTTTGTTTTACCTACATGAAAATGTATCTGTGAAGTACTCTCTTCTCAGGATTTTGTGTTAGGTAGACGTATTCTTAGATACCCATCATCGGAACCCATGGTACACATTCCGTATACCGTATATACGGCAAATAGCCTTGGTTACCAAGGATGTTAGAGTCCATAATTTATCATTAAATCCATAGGCACTTGGTTTCAGGACAAGACCCTTTTAACTAATCAGCTGGTGTCCAAAACTTACCTGAATGTAACAATATTTAATGCAATGTTCATTTCTTTCAATACCAACAGTTTTTCACTAGTTATTTATTAAACTCTTCTAGAATCGCCTTAGTAAACGAAACTCAACAATGAACTTCCTTTCTTCATTTAATTATCATAATACAATTATATATAGTTCAAAAAATAGAAATATTCTTACTAATCATTCACTTCTCATTTAAACATTAATTGAACCCTGTTGAACAGTGCTTATTCTATTTCATTCTAACAGACAGTCATTCTAAATAAACACCTGAATGCCAAACCATTTCAATATTTATAAACTAAGAAACAAAATTAGCCCACCAAAAATGAGCAGTCAGTTAAACAAAACACATTATAATGAACATTGAACATAATCTTATTACTACATAGACTGATGAAAAATAATCAAAATCCCCATGTTTGATTCTCCTTACAATTTTGCCCCCATTTGTCAAAAGCCTTAAAGTTGCATGCCTCCAGATAAACCAAATTACATGTTTTTTGTTTTGTTTTTAAAGCAACTCTGAGAAAAAATTAGACTAAGATTTTAAGAAAATTAAAAAAAAATATCACAATTCAAAAAACAATTTACTAGTACTTGTTATATGTAATAAATAACTGATTTTGTAGTATTTGTCACCCTATTTCTACAACATGACTAATGCAGTAAGAACTATATTATATTTTAAGTTTTGAATTACTTTCTTTCTGCACTTGACAATATTTGACTTTTTAATACATTTTAAAAATGTTCATGAACATCAACATGAATCTGGAGGCATGCTGCTTTAAAGCATACATTTGTATTTCTTACATAGATCAACTGGGGCATATAAAATGACAAAAAGCACTAAGATAATAAAGAAATATACTACAAATTAAATTGAAAATCAGGACTGGAATTTTTTTTTAAAAAAATTTCTGTTAAGCCCATTACTATAAATATTCACTTATTTACATGATCTAACTAAATATTGAAAAATCAATTAAGCAAATTAAAACAAAAAAAGCAGTCACCAATCATCATTAGCCCTTTGCCTGCTGAAATTGTGTACTGGATATGCCCTGTTGTGAATTTGGAACAGTCCATTTGAAATTAAACAAGAGCTGTCGGTAGGACAGCAACGCTCGACTATTCTTAGTGCTTGATAGTAAAAAAAAACTTGGTATTGTAAAATTTTCTAAGTAAAGAAAATGTTAAATTTTTTCTTTAAATCCATATTACAGATATAGGCCTTGGAGAGAGTCCTATTATGCTCTCAAAGAAGAGTATAAAATTTCAACTTGTTTCAAAGCCATATGTCAATGGACTTTGAAAATATTTGAGGTATTACAAAAACTTTAACGTAAATTCTAAGTCAAAAAAGGGGCATAATTCTGTCAAAATGCTTGATAGAGTTACCTCCTCCTGTCTACAGGTTGAGGTCATGATGGTGAACAAGTGTGCAAAGTTTCAAAGCCATATGTCAATGGACTCTGAAAATATTTGAACTATTACAAAAACTTTAACATAAATTCTAAGTCGAAAAAGGGGCATAATTCTGTCAAAATGCTTGATAGAGTTACCTCCTCCTGTCTACAGGTTGAGGTCATGATGGTGAACAAGTGTGCAAAGTTTCAAAGCCATATGTCAATGGACTCTGAAAATATTTGAACTATTACAAAAACTTTAACATAAGTGGTTACGCCGACGCAGACGTCAACGCTCGGGTGACTACAATAGCTCTACTTATTCTTATCGAAAAGTCGAGCTAAAAATAACAAAATACTAAAATTTAGCAATCAACAGAATAGAGTCTTGTCAGACTGCATATATTTGTAGACTACTAGCCTGGCTATATAATGATATAAAGACATTTCACTTTTAGTTCCAGCAGATTAAGGGTTGTGATAAAAGATAAGATAAAAGATATGTAAAATTAATTCAACATTCTCAATGGTTTTGGGCATGGTACATTTACAACATGTAAATACCAATAATGAGAATATTTGACAAAGTTCAAGGTCAAATAGCAGCCATGACCTTTGACATTGGTAAAAAAATTATGACCAAGACACAAGTAGCTAATTAGTAATTACCTCTTTGCACCTAATTCATTAAAAAATAAAAATCATTCCCATTTTTCTTTGAAAAAGTAAGATCTCTGCTAGTCATAAAGATAGTATTCTTTTGATAATTTGAAACAGAATTTGAACATGGTAATAATGAATCAAAGAGCATTTGATCTGAGGCCTCAAGCAACTATAACTGAAATACAGTTGTTGTACTGTAAACATAAATCATCCACCTCTTAATGCGAGATTTATGTCACAATGTGAAGCACAAGTTGCAATGGTTTAATGTACATATATGTATACACACAGCTTCAGCAATCAATTTTCTTTCTACGTATCAAGTCCTAGAACGAGATCAGAGGCTTGCGTTACTATGGGTAACCTTATATCGTTAGAGCTGCTAGATAGAAGCTGTGCCGCGGTTGGTTTAAGATCTCCGTGTGAATGATAGTGATCGTCAGCTTTTTTATCCTCGTTATTCACAAATATACCACCTGATCCTCTCTGGCGTTTTAACGCATGACGATGACGAGATTCGTATAAATATTTCTGAAAATAATATAAAAAGTACTTTTAAAATGGCAGAAAGTGAAAAAATATTTGTGTTTGTATTACATTATATATACAGATATATATCTTCATCACTACAGTTTCACTTCAGCATGGTATCTTATTGTTCTAATATTCTAATACCTGCTCACATAGGTAAAATGGTAAGGTTTATTTAATCACTAATTACCTCTATTATCAGAGTAACCCGTCAACCTTAAAATGCTAAATTTCAGAACAGTCCATAATCAATTTCAGAGGAATTAAAGATTAAAATTTTCAGTGAAGCAATAAATAGTGGTTTTTTATCAACTCATATCATATATAGATCAAAACTTTTGCAGGAAAAATAATTTCAGCAATGTCACACATACACTGAACATGTTGAGTAAACACTGTCATAAATATGAACATATATATCAATCCTTACCATGCTAAATATCTTTTTATAAATAGACTTGTTCATGTTTCAATCTCAAAAAATCCAGTATCATTTTTAAGGGAAAATTTCAAAATATATACTGACTAACTAGCAAACAGTGCAGACCATGATCAGACGGCACTGGTGTTGAGGCTTATCTTGGTTGCATGGGTTGCATGGGTAGAGTCAGTCATCTTAAGCTGGTTTAGAGTTTATAATTATTGTAATCTATCTTCTTTTTGTTCTCCATATTACAAGTCATGTGACATATGAAAAGTCACTTCAATATTTCACTTCAAATGAGGTAGCAGGAATTTGGCTTATCTAACATGTTTTATAGCCGATATTTGGTCATATTTCCAATTGAAAATAGTATATTATTTTCCCAATCCACAGGAAAAAATTCCCCGTTGAAAGTTACAAAACAAAAATATTGAATAAAAAATTCTTAAATCTTTGAAATAAGGGCTTCTTCAGTGTTATAGTGCTTAAATGTTTGAAGATGCCATAATAGACAGGCATTGTTTGCATTCATTTAATCACTTCAAAATTTCAGTCATTCATTTTTTCCCCAATTTTTACAAATCATGGCCGAAATTCCCAATTCCATGGGTATGGGTCGTTTTACTAAAATCCTGAAAAAATATTGTGGGTAGTAATATCAAGGACAAGAACCTACAGGTCAGGGAGCAGCAAACCTGACGCCTATATTACTATTGATTCACAATGTTTACCTGTCTTTCTTTAGGTATCCTACCCAAGGCCTCCAGTTTGGCCCTAGCTTGCCTTCTTTTCAAAATTCTGTGATATTGTTTAGCATTAACATATAATGGCTCTTCTCCTGTTTCACCGGGCTGCAATAATGTACAAACATTTGAAATATTTCTTTAAACAAATAAACTTCACTTTTAACATGTTGGCAAACATGGCATGTCTTGCTTAAACTGCTTTTATTACACCAGTTCAAGGGAGGTAATTCAAATGTTCATATCTCCTCTAAAATAATGGACATATCACAACTGAAACATGTCTTTTTAAACTGCTTTTATACTCGTACAATCTCTTATTTACACCAGTTCAAGGGAGGTAATTCAATGATTCATATCTCCTCTAAAATAATAAACATGTCGCAACTGAAACCCCATTTTTTTAAATCTACACCTGGGTATATAAAGCAGTGATATCTTTATCCTGTATGTTGTATTTAAGGTTGTAACCACACTTAAGTGAAATTTATATATGTATAAAATTATGCTTCTAAAACAATTTTCAAACATCGAAGAATATTTAAAATATGTACTGCAAATATTTGTTCACATCATATGTAATCATTAAAATATATGCATTCATTTCTTATTGAAAAATTTGACTAAGACTTTATAAAAATAAATTTCTAATTACCTCCCTTTATTACCATGAAATGTAAATACGGTAATATCTTTACAAATAATGCTTTTTGGAACTTACAATATTGATAAATCTTCATTTGAGCATTATATTTCTTATATAAAACCATAAAAAAAATTAAGTTTCAGGATCTTTAGCCCTTATCCTAATGGAAGCAAATGTAATTAGCCATAACCACCAGTATAGAGTCAGGTCAGCCTGCTCTTTCATACAGTCTGACCTGGCTTTATACTGTTGGCTGACCAACTTTAAAATCTTCCATCTGGATTTCAAAAACATTGATTATTGACTTTTTTCCTAAATGGTAGCTGGACAATGTGAACGTTTAAAAATCACGTTGAAAAGATTCACGAGGCTTTGAAGACTTTCTCAAAATGATGCTACATGCAAATACATTACATAATTATATAAATTTTAAATTAAAAGGTTTTAAGGCGGGAACAACGCATCAAAACACCAGGTCGGTTTTATTAAACTACTGGTTTTAGGTAAGATATACCCCTCATCAGGTTATGGTTTTTTACTTAAAAAAAAACTTTTTGACCTGAAGTACGTAATATATGAGTGATCAGCTTTTGTAACAACCCTTTTTCTTAAGAAAATTAAAGTGAGTGTTCTTTCTATTCTTAATACTTATTTTGAACCTATATTACATTTTAAAGTGTTGAATGAAATAATATCGAGGGTTGACTGCAAAACTGTTGTAAGTCCTTCTTTATTTCATATAAGTTACTGTACTTTTGCAGTCAACCCTCAATATACAGGTTCACTTTTGGTTTTCACTTGTTCAACAAGTTCACCATCAAAGAAAACACTTTTATAAATTCACAATATAATTATACAGTATACAATGTAATGCACACCAAACTTGCTTTCAAATATATCGTCAATCTATGATAATATACGGACAAATCATGGTAATTTCTGTCCATGATATATTTGTTCCATAGATTCTTAATTCTTACCATTGCTATTTGCTGACCTGGTTGTTGATTCGGTAGATTTATTACTTGTATTCCTGAAACAACAGAGAGAATAATGGCATGTAAACAATAAATAGTACATAAATAATAATTTTATTTTTTTGTGACTTCACCAGATGTACAAGACTTCAGGTTCCTTAATATACAGTTTTAAAGGCACCAGCAGGCACCTCACTAAATCCAACTACCTACAACTAGTTCGCCTGATACTTTCCTTACATAAAAACAATTCAAAGACCCAGCCTACCTTTAAGCCCAAAGTGGTAACAGCTTTTTTTTATTACTTGTATTTTACATTGCACCATCATTGTACAGGTCATATTGTAATTTTTCAGCTTTACTAGTGGAATAAAACTTCCAGTGTATCTCCCTGCACTATCACAGGCATGAACGGGCAACCGAGTAGAACCACCGCAATCTGTAAGCTAGCTTCCTAATCCAAATTCCCTAGCTGGATTGGAATGCAGAATGGTAAGGAGCAAGTGGTTTGAAATCAACAACTTTAACCAAACAGCCAGGATAATTCAAAATCATAACAACTTAAGACTGGTATAGTGAATAATAAAATAATGAATTCTATCCTACCAGTGATTTTATTTTTAATTTTAAAATCAACCTGTGGCTTTCTGAAGGGGAAAATATAGCCTGATAAATCAGAAAAGGGGAAAATCTAATTTCCAACAACTGAGAATTTCAATTCAATTTACTTAGTAACATGCATGGTACATAGCAGAGGCTATCTATAGGGACAGCTTTCTGTCTTCTAGGTGATATAAGTCAGCTGCTTTTAAGTCATGGTTCTAGTGAAGAATGTGCACAGGGCGTTTTAGGGGAAAATATCAGCATTTTTAGGGGAAAATATACCTATCTTGGGCTAGGGGAAACAGTCTTTATTTGGCTGTAAAATACTGGGAATAAAATTGATGGCCACCAACCTTGTGGTAGTTGTACAGGTTTGTTCTGGGCATCCACCAGTACGAATGAGGTTTGACCGTTTACAGTGATTTGATTAAGGAACAGCATCTGAGGTATCCCTAAAGCATTCGCTGTCCCCGTACTCCCGGCTGGGGGTGTCTGACCTTGTAGAAGCTGAAATAAGATATTATATGATTATGTAACTGGTACATTGGTATCTATCTTTCATCAAATTATTAATTAACAATTTATACTTTTTTTCAAAAATAACAGAGGGAAAAAATTCAAACTCAATATTTCTGTCATATTTTGCGCCTTATAATAGACAGTATTCATAATTTGACTGACATATTTATTCAAACACATAATATATCATAATTGCATAATTAGCCAGACTCAATACAGACAAGTTTTTCTTTTGAAAGTTCAAAATCTATATACATCGTAATACATTTAGGAAGGGACATGAATCTTTTCTCCCCCTAAAATTAACATTTGAAGAAAATTAACAATTAAACATTTGAAGAATCCCTTAGACTAAAATTATTTAGTTACCACACCAGATTGAGGAGTCCTTTGGCTTTTCAGGATTTCCTTGCATACAGGAAATTCTAAATCCTACTAACATTAATTATCTACAAATGTATGATCTCAAAGGCATTGCTTAACATTAAAGTGAAGAAAAAGTTCAATAACTATAACAGTATATGACATGAAGTTGCGCTAACCCTTCACCAAGCATTATGCCAACACTAATGCCATGGCAACACTACAGTCAACACTATTGCTAACACCAATATCAACATCAATGTAAACACTGATGCCATCACCAATGTAAACACTGTTGCCAGAACCAATGTAAACACCAATGTTAACACTGATGCCAACACAAATGTCAACATGAGTATGATAACCAAAATTCTTTAAATAGTCAAATCAAATATTTGACAGCTAATATACCTGTGTGCCAATAGTTTGAGACTGTGCCTGAGAAGTTGCCTGGTTCAATATAAGCTGCTGACCTGCTGACTGGGCTCCTATACCCTGAACTCCATCAGCCACCTACAAATATTTTTCAATGTAATAATACAGAAGTTAAACTCTTCCTAATTTTTATTATCATTGCTGTTTTAATGAACCAGTTGTTTGTAAAATCATATGAATAGTTTGCATTTCTCACTTGAACCTGATTGTCAGACATAGTTTCATATAATTTCAAACATGAAATGGCAAAACCCTTTGTTGGATTATACAGTTTGAATACAATTTCAAAGGTTTTATCATACAAGTAAAACATTACATGAATTGTCCTTAGAGCATTCTGCAACACAATATTAAGAGAACTTTGTTAGTAAACTTTTTTTGTAGTTGGATATGTTGCACCAACACAGTATAGGTCATATGGCAACTTTCCAGCCTTTACTGGTGGAGAAATACCTCAGTGCTATCTTGCATTATTTCAGGCACAAACAATAACCTGAGTAGAACCATCAATGTTTCATAAGCTAGCTGGATAGCTTCCTCACATGAAAGAATTCAAGTCCCTGGCAGGATTCCAACCCACAGCAGCGAGGGAAAAATGGTTTGAAGTTAACAAACTTTACGGTTACCACTCGGCCACGGACACCCAAGAAGAAAAATTTAACTTAATGAACAGAACCTGTATAACATTGCCACCGCCTGCAACAATCTGACCAGCAGATACTACAGTACCATCTTGTGTAATATACTGTATTTGTTGTATATCTTCACCATTCTGGTTTACGGTCACTGTCACTGGCTGCTGGCCCTCTGTCTCATACACAGTGTATTCTGGACCATCTGACATTCTCTAGAAAACAAGTTTTAAAAGTCCTCACATTATTATGTAGGTACATTGCAGAGCAACAGATAAGGTGCGTATTTGCATATTTACGCAATTAATTTTATAAAATAAGCAATTGATTTCTTTAAAAAGGGTATCAAAACCCATTTAAATAAATAAAATACACAATTGTCTTCAAAACCCACGCATATTGTCATTTTCATCACCACAAAATTTACCTGTCATACGCTGGTAGTTTTGGACAAATTATATGGATAAGCATCCTATCCGAATATCTCCAAATCAAATGCTAACTAATTGACGGTCTCTGGTCTTTGAAGGTCCCCGGTTTCCAAAGACCGACGAAGCCATATCAATAAAGCAAGAGACCGTCGATCAGGTTGACGGTCTTTACAGACCGGCAGAGACTGTTGATCAGGTTGACAGTCTTTACAGACCGGCAGAGACTGTTGTTTTAGCGGGGACCGTCAATAAGTAGGTCCCAGCTGTATGAATAGATGCTTTGCAATATGGCGTCGTACAAAGCGACGAAAGAAAAAAAAATTGAATACCCAATTGACTTTAAAATCATAGGATATGGAGTTTTGGAATACCCAATTAAATGGAGCTAATACCCAATTCCAAAGGAAATGATGGAGTAATACCCAATTCACATTCAAAGCTTATCTGTTGCTCTGGGTACATGTATGAATTCAACATTAATGAATATATATGATAATGTACTTTAATTTTGTAATTTTTTATTGCATTGGAAAGGATGTCATCATTTGGCCACAGCTGAAATTTAGCAGTCTCAAACAGACAAAGTGCAATTCAATAATAATAATTGGACATAATTGTAACTTTATATTGAGATAATTGACCCTGGGGTGCTTGAAATGGAATTTTTGTCTGATTTATGGACGATTTAAAGGCATGGAGTTGTAAAAAATCAGACAAAGCAGTTCATGACTTGTAAAATAGTTTGCCATGGACTTGAAATCTACATAATTTGAGTTGTAATGTACACATAAATTGATGAAGAATAAAGGCAGCAGTTGGCTAACTGTTCAGGCCTGCATTGCTAGCCAAAAGTTCTAACATCCTGAGTCACAAACAACTAGCCTATACGCACTGTTGCGGTTGAGGTTAGCCAGTAGCTGTAAGGCCTTCTTAAAATGAATAGCCTGAAACAATAATGAATATGCCTTATTTAGAAAAATTGCAGGAGCAAAATGTGGACAGTGTCGAGGGAATACGCAAAGGCGAGTTATAGTTATACATGTATACAATGTATATTTTTTATATAGTAAATGGGTGCTGGATAGTAATTTTGTTCTTCTGATGATCAAGGGGAGATTATTTTTATGATAATATGACCATTAATAGGCATTATTGGCAAGGCAAATGCTGCTGAATGCCTGTGCCTTTAGGCTTTAATCTGTAAACCATTAAATTCATTGAACTCAATGATTCAATTCAGAAGAACCGAATTAAGAAACATTGTTTGAACATATAACCACTAATATCATTGTTTACCGGGTTATTGTTAAAAAATTGGCTTAGCAAACTGTTTTCCATTTTCGGTCGAAATATTTTGTGGTCGAAACGTCTAAATCCGGCCAAATAAAATTCAAATAAGCAAAGCTCCTACCTTTTTAGACCTACCTTTAAATTCTGAAACACTATCAGATGATATTCTTTGCTTTATAATAAAAATTCCAGCGTCAATTACAGCGTCAATTACAGAAATAGTCGAGAAAATGAATTAAAAAAATTACAAATTTATGATCTTAATTGTTGTTGTTGTTCTTCGTCAATATCGTGCGCATTTCGACCCCAAAATAGTTCGGCCCCTATGTAAACTATTCGCTCCAATAATTTTCGCCTTTTTTGTAAAAAATAACAAATTCCCGGCAAAGTATGGATAGGCCATTTTTTGAAATATTTTAATATATTTAGATAAATTGATCATAATATAGTTAAAGTATTTTCGATTTGCCTAAAGAGGGTCAGTACATTGAGGCACTGAGAGTACTGACCCCTTTAATTAGGACCTCAGCAGACGGTAAGATTTAGTTAAACGACACTAATTAATTAAGGCACATTATGTCTCAAAAATCTTTTTATTCCAATTCTTTGGAAATGTCATGTTTTCAACAGTTAAACATGCTCTAAATCCACCGTTAAAATATTTTATAAACACACGTTTGACAATTCCATGTTTGAAAACATGTGCAGCTCTCGATCTATGCTAACACACAAAGGGGGTTGTAACGGTGCCTGGACTCTATATTTGGTTTATTTGTGAGCAAAAACTAGGTCCAGACCAAAAAAACAGGTGACAATCCTTATATATAGTCTATATATATATATATATATATATATATATATATATATATATATATATATATATATATATATATATATATATATATATATATATATATATATATATATATATATATATATATATATAAACAGTTGACAACCCTTAATTTTTAAATATAGTCTATATATACATGTATAAGGATTGTCACCTTTTTTTATTTGTCTGGGCCTAGTTTTGCTCGCAAATAACCCAAATATAGAGTCCAGGCACCGTTAACCCCCTTTGCTCACACATATGGTAATGATTCAGGTGGCGAGGGTGAACAAATCTAAACACACACGTAAATGTATACACTGTAATACTAACATAAATCGAAAAATCAAGCATGTAGAAAAAAAGAAAAAAAATATTTCGTAACGAATATGTTTTAATGTATCATTTGTCCTCGTATTTGTATATATATCTTGTGTATTTGTCTGTTATTTATGTGTTAAATTTCTCTACAGTCCGATATATAACCACTATCCCATAGCATTCCCATTTCATCACCTTTTCATCATAACAACTAACAAGAAAAGCATTGATGCAAAGCATCAAAGGGCGTCCAAACAGCAGGTGCAGATGAACTAGTAGATATATGATGACAAGATATTCTTATAAACTTTTCAATGGTTCATTGGGTTTTACCAGAATTGTATATCACTTTTGAATGAACGGACGAAAGACATTGTTCATTATTTATAACTTTGATCGGCATGCTAGAAATTAGAATATTACTTGTTATTTCTTTATGATCGTGGTTATTAATAGCAACGGATATACATGTATACAATCATTTATAATCCATATGTGTAACGCATGATCAACACCATACTTGTGTAATTGTCCCTTATTATGTTATTGCTATTAACGAGGACCCCCTCTTAAGGTATCTGTTCACACTAAGTAACAATATGACACTTGTTATATTACCATGTTGATCATGTTGAGCATAATTGTTTATTATACAATAAATGTAATTTCTATTTTAATAAAAAAAAATACAGATTTTCTGAATATTGTTTTCTTTTCTTTTTTTATGTGTGTTTTATGCGCTATTTTAATACTGAGTTTTTACGTTTACTACTATTTTAAGAATTCAATTGTCATAATGATCGACGATTATAAGTCAAAACTTAACTGGAAAAAGTCAGTAAATCATGGTTAATCTTTCAATTTATAATATTGTTTATTCTTAAACCATATACATGTACATTTGTATTTTTCTTTATCATTTTTTAAATTATCAATCAATTGAATAATTCATAAAATCTGATTTGTAACTTTGAATAATTCCTCGGAATCTTTACTAAACACGAATAACAAATTATATAAAATGTTTTAAAGTTGATAGTGTCATATTAATGCCATAAAAAATGTACATTTTTTCTCAATTATTGTACATATTTATTGTTTTTATCTCATATAGATAAAATATAACATGCGATTTGTGTTGTTGGTTTTTTTTTTTCGAATTGTATGTTTATGTATAATAATAATCAATCAATTCGAGAGTTGATCTGTGTTTATTAATTATTGTAACCAAACTAAGTGACAAACATTCATTTTGAAAAAAAGCTTATTTATCTGTAAAATATTTGTTCTGTTCTGTAACGATATCTACTCCAAAACCGGGAGAGACCGGACAATAAACGTGTGGTACTATTCGCCGGTCATTAGTAAATCCCGGGAGAGACCAGGAATTACCTAGGAGTACATCCCTCTATAAATAGATTTTCGGAATATTAAGGTCATCAACTCATCATTCTATTAACAGCTTTCGGAATAACATACCATAATAACCCACTGTGTACTACAAAATGATAAGCAAAAATACCCCGAAGAGCGCGATTTATTGACGGAAAAGGTTATTTCATTTGAAAATGTTTGCATTGCGAAATTCTCCAGTTCGCCATTCATTGTACATATCGCGACTAATTAACAATCAAGCACCCTCATACCGATCGGAATGATCGGCTTTTATTATTGGCAACTATAAAAGGCTCGAGAAGTTGCTGTCGCCCTTTCACAAAATCTCATTTCATTCCAATAGGCGCCGCGCTTCGGCGCGGACGCCAATTACTTATTCAGTGTGGCAATACCACGTGACATTGACGTCATGTTCGGCATCATTTCCAAGACAAATGTTGCTCGATTCGGAAAAGAAAATAGCCGTAAATATTTTATTTCTGTACAGTACCAATTTCTTTGGGATATGCACCAGTCTACGGGGAAAAATATAAGCTTTCCACAGAATATTGGATCTTCGTCAGTTTATAAGCCGTTTTATCAAACACTTTGCATAACCTTGGAAGTTGCTTGTATTAGAGCGGGCTTCAGTTGCAAGCTATTTCGTTTTCTGGCGTTATCTGGTCTACGTCATGATAAAAAAGAAAGGTTTACATCAACCGGGAGTACGGAAGGCAAAACTCTACCTAAATGTGTTCATATTTTTATTATGAATGACATAAATCTTAAATTTTTCTTCAATTGTCAATTCTGGCACCAGTTCCAAGTCGAAAAAATAGGACTACAGTTTAAAGCAGATTTAGAATCCGTTGCAAATGCAAAGCAACATGCCTACCGTTCTCTTTCTACAATTTAGTTTTTCATTGTTAATCTTTCACAGAGAGATTGTGAAAAAAACTGATTGTTCCTTAAAGCAACAACACTTACTTGTATCGCAATAGTGCACGTCAAATCACGTAGATTTAGTCCTGTCGGAAAATAATATTTTGGTTTCGTTTTGAAGATGTTTAAAGTATTGCTCATTTTATCCTATGTAGTAAAATGTGTTTTATTCTATTTCACAATGGCGAAATTGATAAGAAATATATGTGCTCTCAGTGAGAGAAAGAGTTAAAATTAAAAAAAAAACACTTTTGTATGCTATGGAAAGGGTTACACTTTAACGCGAGTGTTGTAAAGCTAAAGGTATTTTTTCAGTTTATTTTTGTAAAGAGTAACTGACAAACACTGACACTCGTGAATGTGACGAATAGGTTCTTCTGTCCTCAAAAGAGAGACTTTTAAAAGGTATATATTTTTTCTGGAATTGTTGTATAATAAATTTCTATAGAGTTTGATAAACGAAATCACAATTTGAACTTGGAACTTTGCCGTGTAAATCTGATAGTATTGTTACTTAGTTGCATTACTTGTGATTCTCTATTTATAAAAAAAGACCCAAAATAGCCATGAATAAGAACGAGAATGGACGCCATGTGGAGTAAACAAAGTAGAAAATAGTAAACAGATAAATGATTTTACAAACTAACAGCCATCGATCACAGTCAAATTTCTTGAAACAAAACATTCAAAAAGACGGAAATAACAATGATTATCAATAATTATATAAATATTTACATTAACATCTGTAATAGCAACATCGGCAAGATCTATGACTGGGGTCCATATGCCACTGATGCGTCCATTGAATAATTGATAGCTAACATAAGCTTAGTAAAATTACGATTACATTTGAAGAGTATATTCAATTTTTATCCTTCAACTGTCAAATGACTTACTTCTTTATTTACATATCAGATAATTCACTTATTTAGTATATGCGTTATTTTTATCATGTTTTAGATTTTAATGTGTGGTCCTTTTTAGCTCGACTTTTTTTTTTTTGAAAAAAAAAGTAGAGGTATTGTTATAGTCAGGTCGGCGTTGCCGTTGCCGTTGCCGTTGCCGTTGCCGTCCGAAAACTTGTACCTGGATCATAACTTTTTTATTTCTTGGTGTATTGTCTTCATACATGGCCACAACAACCCTTGGGACAAGACCTTTCAGTAGACCACACTAACCTTGACCTTCATCCATAAATGACCTTGACCTTCAAGGTTAAAAGTCCAATTTTTGCTTGTCCATGCTGTTATTGGCTGTTACTTTGTTATTTTTGAATGGATTGTCTTCAAACTTGAACATAATAATCTTCAAGGATATCCCTTAAAAATAACCAGTCAGACCTTGACATTCACTCATCAATGACCTTGACTTTGAAGGTCAAATTATTGAAATTTTCATTTTTTTGGCTATTATTGGCTGTAACTTTGTTATTTTTGAATAGATTGTCTTCAAACTTGAACATAATAATCTTCAAAGATAACTGTTAAAAATATACCGAAAGACCTTGACCTTCACTCATTAATGACATTGCCTTTGAAGGTCAAATTATTGAAATTTTCATTGTTTTGGCAGTAACTGACTGTAACTTTGCTATTTTTGAAGGGATAAACTTCATATCATAACAGAACATTCTTAAGGACCAGACCTTGTTGTTTATCAAACCCAAATTTGCTTGGGCTCTTTAATGACCTTGACCTTGAAGGTTGTATTACTGAATTTTCTCAGATTGTGCATTTATCGGTGTGTGTGTATGTATAGTATATGTATTATATATAAATATATATATAAATGTGTGTGTGTATATATA